GGGGTGCAAATCGCAACCATTACCGATTATTTTTCGAGTTAGTAGAATTGTGGTAAAATTGAACACCATGTAACCGGTGAAGTACAATGTTTTTCGGGAATGGGTACCCTGGTGGAGCTTCAGATTTATAGCAATACTAAAATCTGTAGCAATGGGTAAGCTTCGATTTTTACTGAATTCTTGCGAGAAGAATTGCATTGCATAGACCACTAAAGGAAACCGTGAAAGTCATTGGAATTTTTCAATCACACATTCAAAGTTGCTATTTTTAAATACGAGGCAGTTGAATAAAACTAACTGGATTGATCTGGTGAACAGTTAGTGATGTATAAACCAACATGAACTCGTTTGATATGAATAAACGAGTCATGTGATGAATTAAGCAGCCTCTTTTACGGAGAGCTCTAGTCCAGCAGCAATTTGCATGGCATTTGATCAGCTGGATGTCGTGCATTAGCACAGCGTTTATCGCTAGCCCTCTGAGGGTATAATTTTGTGTATTCTTTTTTTATCTGTTGAGTGTGAGAGTCCTCGATGATTTTAGTCTATTTGGGACAACCAGTAACGGTTTGTGGATTGTGCTGGTTCTCTGATTGTTAATTCTCAGCAAGAATCTAACTGAGAAGTCAAAACAATCCCCAAAGTGACAAATCAGGGAAGGAGCAAACGATACTGATACTAACATGATGACTATATTATGCAAATAAAAAGACCTCACTTCTCATGATATGTGGTCGTCTCTTCCTGCCGATTATCATGGGTTATACGAATCTCGTGGAAGTCCGATGAGGTGAAAATAATGAAGTGCGTTGGTCTGACTCAGTATGTTCCATCCAGCAAGTCTTACAAAGAGTGCGTTTTAAATAGAAACGTTTTCCAGTGCATCACATCGAATTACAATGTACCCTGGACGAAACCTTCAAACACGTCACGTTTTTCAGTAGTATTTTTCCATGGTGTATTGCTCAACAGGATTTTTATAATTAACTACGGAGACAACTTCTCACCACAAAAACATATAGGTCTGAGTTCGGCTTGACGTGTGGCAAATGGATTGCCCCGTGTAATAGAACAAAACCTGCTAACGCATCATTTTGTGTTTGTCAAGTAATATTTCTTCTTTGAACACTCACTGCGACGCCTCTTCGAAAACAATTCAATTTTATGCTTGAGACCAATAACCTGGATCGTTGAATTGCTTGAATATAACCCCTCGTAAATGCAAAGTCTGTCAACAGTTTCACAATGCTCCATTTATGTTTCGTAGAATTATTTCAAAATTTTCTATGTTCCATTCATGTTACTGCTGCGGACGATATTGTTATTATTTTTTTCAAAAATCCCGCATACTACTGCATATCCTGAGTGCAAAACTCGTTTGAAAAAATATATTTCGGGAATGATGCTGATAGATGATGAGATGAACATGGATTCGTTTCGTCTTCATTCATGCTTGTCCGCACAGTCTCATTCACACTTTTCACATTCTGCAGTGCTGTAGAAGGGAACGAGACACATATCAGAAACTCAAAGAGACTTGAGGACAAAGCATGAAAGAAGAACTCGAATTGGCTAATAATGTGATCATTTGATGGTTAACAATATTCACCTGGTTTGCCTGGCAGCACCCGTCCGAGTAGCTGTCACACATCAAACCATTCTGATAGTTGTAATATTTACTAAAGCCATTCGGAGTTTCGTGCAGCCTGTTGTCCTTTTCTCATCTGATTCCTAGTCTGCTCTCACAAGTACAGTATATACTACCAGATTTCCTTATTCCCAATCCATAACTTGCCAAGGCTTTGTTCCTAACTGGAAATCCAATGCAAAAAGTAACATAAGACCCGTCGAATTTCTCTTCGTGTAATTGGCTGACCGAATGAATCAGCATATTTTGTACGCATTCTGGATGTTTTCCGGCTTAAATATTGTTCTATTCGCAGTGTGTTCTATCAAATGGGGTGTTGTCCGACTCGTCACATTTTATTCATAGTATCAGTATTGTCTAACAGCATCCAATTTTCTATGTAAACATGAATTCCAGCAGGTGATACACATGCTATCTCGTTACAAATGTCTTATGCCAGTTTTACGAATAACATTCACAAGTAACCGCTATGTCAACATTATCAGTTTATTTTAACTGGAAGAATAGCGAAGTTATGATTATAATCGATAATGCATGTCGCCTTTTGCATAAGCATTTAGAGTAAAATCCCTATATTGTCCTAATGAATTCTGCCATGCTCAGACTGATCTGTCACATCTAAGCTTGAAAACGACTTTTCTCCTGTTTGAGAAACACCTACACCTTCTAGAGGACAGAAGATCACATTGAAAGAATTAGTTCCCAAACGAAATTATTTCGATCCGTAGCACAATACATTGATAGCCTAAATAGTCAGTTCACCTGACACGCTGTAGTTTGGAATTGCAATATATGATCATCAATGGTCAGGCTACATGTTGCTTTGTTTTATGGCCTGTGATATCATATACTTCGTATGGATACATAATGTGTCTTGGAAATTTGTAGACATCGTATCTAACCAGCCAGTCGTACGTAATGAAATAACCAAAACCCGGACTACGAGCACTAGAAGAAAGATAAGACCAGACAAGAACAGCAAGAATATACTACTACATTTAGTTGGTGCTTAAGCGTTTATTTGCAAAAATAGGCATGTATTTATTGACAAATAACACCCTGACCAACCACAAAGCGCCTTCTCTGTATCTACACGATCTAAAAGTTACGGTCTGGTTTGATTCATTGGCTGGATACTGCAAATAAAGCTAAAGCGCAGTGAACCGCATGCAGAGACAGCCAAATCACTGCGTTATTGTAATGCAACGAACGAACAACTAAGTTCGGAAGACATCGGGTTCGAATCAAAAAGAGAAAAATGAGTAAAATGTGATTGGTTGTTTCATTTACAGAAATAATCACGCTGAATAATACGGTAGATATGCACTGAACTGGTTATACATCAATCGTCTATTTTCTAACACAAACACCGTGTACTAGATGTAGCGGACACAAACACATGGTCATTAGCAGAAAACTGCTGTGGCTTGCACTAGATATACGAAAAACGGATAAGGTATGGACTAATCACTTACTCTGCTTCCCAACAACCTTAAAAATTGGCACCACTCATTACAGTTCATTATTTATTGGGACTTACTGTGTACTTCTGTTGGCATATCGGCTGTGTAATTTTAATCCACAGACTTCATAATTTTGATGGTAACGTGGTCTTTTTCTCCTATACCCCAGATTGGTCTTGTGTTGATCTTGGTTATCACCAAACTTGGCTCAAATGCAGGCATGTGATTACATAACTGTGCATTCCTTCGTTGCGCATAAATTTCCCCTCAAGCAAATTTGAGTGCATAGATTGAATGTCACCCCATACGTTTGAAAGTGGGTTGCGATTGCCGTATTCTTGCTTGGACGGAATATGTCTAAGGAGCACAAATCTTGGTTGTGCTTTTTGTGATACTTAGCGCGTCTTACTACGGCTGCAATTGCAGTCAGTAGACTTTCAGAGCCGACCGTTCCTAGGTATGCTTTGCAGAAACGCATCATTCACGTCACCTGTTCAAAGTATTACCGGATAATGTGATTCGTGTTCCGAACCGATAACTTCGGTAACGACGAAACAACCGCTGGGATATCTCTGGTGACAGAACTAGATGTTTGACTAACCAGCTGTCGCGGTCACATCCATTCATCGATGGTTTCATCATAACCTTTACTATTTGAACATAGATATTTGTTATTTTAGAGCCTTCGAAATCCCAGGTAGATTTAGATTCTATGGTTAACATTAGACATTCGTGATAATGAAGATTATTCCTAGCACACATAGTGTTTTGAAAAAGTGGGACATTTTCTCTATCAACAGTGTACACCTATGAATACCGTGAACGAGTAAGACACTAATTATAAGGACGTTGGGTAGTTTAAATATATTCTGCGATTTGCCAACTCTCGTAGATATACCAAAATTTTAAGTGATACAACACCCCTTTTACCCTACTCATTGAATTATCGTGTTTTCTTAATCGTTTTGATAAAGATCCTGCCAATCAAATCATCGGTTCGTTTGAACTCCAAGTGAGTATTCCATTATCATTTCTGATAAACGCGAAATCAGAATCTATATCAGCTAAGGTGACAGTCGAAAACGACAAGAGATCGAGGAGTGATTTCAGCGGATAGACGTCAATAGCTTGTGTTACAGAAAAGAAAATAGAACAAATTGCAGGAAATGAACTCACAACTGTTCGCAGTTCTCGTTGTAGAAACTTGGGTGCCAACTGTTTTATGTCTATCAACATGGACAGTTCACAACAGCCAACATAACCAGATTGCCGTTTGTTGAATATTTAGGAATGTTGGTGGGACGAATGTCAAACCACGCTACGAAATATCACTGATCGTAGTTAGATCTGGTTGAAATGATTTCAACGCACTTCAGATCAGAATGCAAAGTTATGCACAAACGCGTGATTTATTACCAGCATTTTTGTATTACTCGGTTATGTGTTTAGGTAAGTGTGCTTAATTTTACGTGTGAACGTCAGTAAAACATATTACTGCATGAAGGGATGTTGCAAAACCAAATAAATTTTATTTTCTGTGGTTTTGTCAATCTGTGGAGCAATGTGCTTCCCAAAATAGTCAAGAATGTTGCGCCCATATGTCTGTTCTGTACAAAGGGTGTTCGTCCCCGAGACAAATCCTTTCAGTATGATGGGTGTGATGGTTGGATTCACCTTGAGTGCTTCGAAGTGGACAATGACTTTTACAAAGCCCTAGATAAATGCCACGTGAAGATTCTCAAACTTCTGTTCATCAAATGTGCTGAGCTACCAAAAGCTGTGTGGCCCGCAAAGAAGTCGGTGATGACGGTACCTTCGGTCGCTGATAAAACTGATTCATCCAAATCATCATTATCATCATTTTCATCGTCGTTGTAACCGCCACTCACTTACTCGTCGTCATCAATAGCGGCAGAGGTAGCAAAAGCAGCACCATCATCGGCATCAACTTCACCAACGTCATCATTGTCATCTTCATCGCCGTAAGAAGGGAAAATGTTCGTGGATGTTGGGGCTTCCAACAGCATGTTAGTTGCCAGTGCACAAGACCCTTCTTCTATTTCCGCGGAATCTGGTGTTGAGGAAGTTACGATCATGGGGACAAACATGTCAGTCGTAGAGGTGCCAACACAAGAAGAGGAAAGTGCCGTCCCAAGAAGGAGCAAAGACGATCACTATTACTACACCAGCGGCCGTCCCTCCATCGGCCTCTGAGTTACCGACACTCCCTGGTCACAGAGATTCTCGGATACAGGTGCAGAAGAAATAATCTCCGCGGGATCAGTTCTCGCTGGTATTTGGAATTCCGTATACATCGGTGTCGGTCTCCCAGCGGCGTCTCGAGCACGACCTACTTCAGCTCAAAGTAAATATGAAAAACTTCTCTGCGGGCGAAGAGACGCTGTCTGGGTCTTTACCAGTTAAAACAGCCTTTCGTTTAGGCGAGGTCCGCGAGGCTTGGTATCCTCGACCTTTAAAGTTTGTTCTTGCTTCTCGCAAACCGGCACAAGAGAGATTTTACTGCTAATGGTACGTCTTAGAGGCGAGGTTTCCTGACTGTTACGTGACCTGGAATCAGAAGATAAACAGAAATTTAGGCAAGCTGGCACTGAACTCCTGGAACGCTGAGCAAACGGTGAGGACAATCTGTACATACGGGATTTTCGGGTGGTGAAGAGGAGAATGCACGTGGCGTAGCCACCGCTGACTGCAGTGACATCACCAGCTTCAGACTGGAGGGAAGCACTTTTGTGAATCTCGATGAGTACGTCGTGAATGGACAAACAACATATGTGGTTCTGAGCAATGTTAGGGGGCTGTTGAACAAACGTGAGGAAATGGAGATGTTTGCTATGGAAAGTAGAACTGCGGTTATAGTGCTGACTGAGATTTGGTTGCACGACGAGGTTCTGAACATCGAGGTTGCTCTGCAGAGGAACCAAATATTCCGTTTTGACTGAACCCGGATCAGAGGTGGTGTCGGTGTAATAATTTATATTACAGACTGCCTATATGCTTATCTGCTTGATCGTTATTCGGATCCCCATGGGCTTGGAGAGACACTTTGGTGTAAGGCGGAATTGATTAGTGGTGGATCCGTGGTTTTAGGACTTTTCTACAAGACACCTGCTGCAAAGCCATCGGATATTCTGGAGTTCTTGAGGCGATCGGGATCTGACGGTCACTTTCTCGCTTAAGGTGGCTTCAATGAGCCCCGTAGTGACTGGGCTGCATCCTGCTTTTCTACAGCAGCTGACTACTTTTTCCGAAATCTGCTTACCTTGGTATGTGATCTGGCGCTATACCAAAACGTTTCTCAACCAACTCTTGTCAAAAGTGAGCAATCATCCATTCTCGATCTTGTTCTTAATTCTTAGATGTTTGATGTCCCTAAGATTAGTATCCTACATCCTTTAGGTTCAACAGACCATACCGTTCTGCAAATACACTGGAGACGTGTGTCCAAACATCGACTAGGTAAAGCTGCGGATCAAACGTTTGGCGTATAAACTTTGAAATTATGAGGCGGTGCGGACTATGGTCTGGGAGCACGACGATCCTGACAACGTAAATACAAGTTGTAGTCGTATCAGAGACGGGATCCTTCAGTTGGCTGATTGCTTCGCTCCACCATACCGCCACCTTTTTCATGCAAATGGCCCTCCATGGTTTGATAGAGAGTTTCGATGCCTGCTTCACAAGAGAGATCGAGCAAGAGAAAGATATCAGGAGACCGGCGACGGCTATAATGAGTACAAACAGGTACGGAATCAGTGTTCATATATGACGGCAATCAAGCGAAGCAGGTTTCAGGGGAGGCTGGCAGCCTACTGTGTAAAGGTAACTAAACGGTTGTACGCGTATCTTAAACGCCGCACAACAGCAACGCCGTGCATACCAACCTTGGTTCAGGCTGACATCATCGTTGACTCCGACGAGGTTAAGGCTGATGTACTGGCACGGCATTAGGCATCGTCCTATACAACGGATCCTGAAACAACCCCTTCGCCTGGTTCGTCCTTTTGGGAACCTGTCAGCATGCCTCGTTATTTTAATGTGGGCGAAATTACGAGACAGCTACGATCGCCCAAGTCTCGCCATCCAGCCGGCCATGATGAAATTCACCCTCTGGTGGTAACTCGCTGACATCATTGTTTCTCAACTCACCAGGTTGTTCAACACCACGTTGGCAGCAGGGCAACTACCGAATGACTGAGCAGCCTCTATTACTGTTCTGGTGTTCACAGGTGATGACGAAACTGCGTCTGTTAATTACCGTCCTGTGAGTGTAACTTGTTTCGTCCGCAAGATAATGGAACGTCTCAAATCCAAGCTGGTGCAGGAACACATGGAAAACCTCCTGTTCAGTTCCCAACAACATGGTTTCCGGAAATCCCGATCTTGCTTGTCGAGTCTTTAGCTTGCTCGTGAGCGGTGAGCTGAAACGAAGGCCGAGGGAGGTTCCACGGGCGTCATCGTCGAGGACTTCAGCAGATTTCGAAGTTAAAGGAAGCTCTTACGTTTAAGGGCTAGTGTTGAAACCCATAGGGCCAAAGCCTGTGAGCGGCTATTTTGGGGAGGCGAGAAAAATAGTCGTTGATTTGGCACAGATAATCTTGATTGATCTGGGTATAGTTTAAATATTTCGAACATGCACTCTATTATTCAGTTAGTCACAATTGTTTTATTTGCATTGTCATGCCGGTATTATTAATTTCTGTACATGAAACATGATGAAGCGGCAAATCTGGTTTCAAAATTTTTAACTACTTACAAACGGATCATTTTTGACGGCTTTTTGTAAGCTTTGAGTCAAACGATCAATGAATGTGACATTTTTCCTGAGGAAGATCTGGATGAAAATTTTTAGCGAAAAAATACTGAGAGATGAATTCACAAATTACCGTTTTCCACAACTGTACTGGTGATATGTTATTGGTACGATGTCTTGAATATACCCGGCGAAACATCAACCTTGATAGACGTGCTTCAAAGCGTGTCGTTGACGACAGACGTCCATTCACAGCTTTTAGGCTAGTAGGTGAAGTTCATTTCACAACCTGATGTATCTCAATGACTGGTTCATTGCTGTACCACCAGCCAAAACGGATGAACAAAACCTGAGTGGTGATCTTAATTTCCTTCCTGTTAGACTTGTTAATCTGTCCTTAGTGGAACTCAGTGAGTAACTTGGAAATGGCAATTGAGAAGCTAATTTGTGATGGTAAATACCGTCTGGGTGGAGACGCATAGCGTCTAGTGTTTAGCCAAGCAAAGAAGCAAATGTCTTTTCCACAGGGACACTTCCCCTAGTGTGGGGCAAAACATCCGATCTTCGAAATTCAATTCATGCAGATGGAATTTCTTATATTACTTTGGAAATGAAGACATTGGTCATATTGCATAAGCGTATTTGAATAAAGCTTCAGTTTTAAGATGATGCAAAACGTGATAAATCCGCTAGCTAATTCAGATGATGCTGACTGAGGTGTCACAGTATGCAGCTGTAGTGAAACAATTGTTCATAATTCATTTAGTGTTATTGATGAATCTGTACTGGGTTTATTTTACTTTGGAAACTGAATCACATCGTTTTTGAACGTTTAACTACTAACTCAATTATCGGTACGTTTTCCAGAATGCGACAAATTGTAAATCGGTGAAGTTTTGCAAAATGGTATTTTAAAGGTAGCAGTCTTTTACATTCTCAAAGATGTGCAGCACATATAATAATTCATAATTCAATTCTCAAAGACGATGCATTTTTATTAGGGGAAGTAACCGCGATGTTGTTGCACAAGCATTGTATACCTTGATTTCTTCTCTTGGAGTCGTTTATCATTCAAAATATCCTTCAGAACAGTTTCTTCGTGATATTCCAGATTTCGAAGTTAAAGGAAGCTCTCACGTGTAAGGGCTAGTGTTGAAACCCATAGGGCCAAAGCCTGTGAGCGGCTATTTTGGGGAGGCGAGAAAAGTAGTCGTTGATTTGGTACAGAAATTTTTCGAACATGCACTAACCTCAAATAACGTTGAATAGATATTATAATCTGCCCGAGGTGATGTATTGGGAAACCTATTCTTCGAGATTTTTGCATCCAGTAATGCAATTCCAAGGCACTGCTCATCCACGCGGTGTACTCCAAAGACTCCTCGGATTGATAAACAGCAGGATCAACCTTATTCCTATCCGCGTTGAGTACCGGTGAAAATGACAAGACGCTTTCCAGATTTCTATCTGTGTGTCTCTGAGTTGTTTAGTTCCAGCCTTTAACAACTGTTGACGCACTTCAACCTTTGCACTCCCGAGAGTCTTTATCAGGCACCCCAACATCGTGGTCGATAACCACTCTAGGTCGTTAACAATGATCTACCGGAAATATACGGACTGATAACATGGTAAGCCGGCCAAATAATAATATGCTGGAGGTGCGACAATCCTTCTCTCGGACAAATATTTGCATTAATTTGCATTCTGATTTTGCTCATAATTTCCTATTGTTTGCCATTGCGTGAAACAAAATTGACTGGGAAACAAACAAATGGAAGTAACTATGGAACTCTGTCACCTTGAGCAATATCATCATTCTTTGTGCAAAGACTGTTCAGCGGATGCAATCCCCATACAGCTGCCGTAGAAACGTCTAAATAACAAGAATTTGGCTATTAGGAAACCCACACTGCTCATTAAATAATTTATTCCGTAGCATCTGCTCACAATTCGCAGTTGACATTTAACGGAAGCAGATTCCTCAGCCCCCTAAATTTCGTCCTAAACGCAAATTCGCCGACACCCTAATCGACTCGAACGTGGTGTACTTGACCCTATCTCTACAGGGTTATCAAGACACGAGAGCAATTCGTGGTATCGTACTAGAAGGAACCACACAAATTTTGTGTCCACATTGAGTGAGTAGAAGAAAGACACGCTTGAACGGTTGAGCATGCGTTCTGTACGAACGCGAGGCAAGTACAAGCACAGACAAGCAAGTGAAAACGCAAACACGTAGGCAAGCCCATGAGTCAACGCTCTATGCTAGTGAAAGCCTAGGCCATGAGTAAAATCTTATTGGACCACACAAGGTCGTTCAACACG